TACGTTCCTCCGAAACGTCGGTTACCACCACATCTACACGGTGCCACATCCCAGACGACTGCTTTCTTCATAGTCACCGCCGTGAAAACCTCAAATCTTACAAGTATATATTCTGCTTACACGATAGTTGCTTTCGTGGAAAATACGTAATCGAAGACGTGTTATGCATGCTCAGTGTTAAGAAAGTGAATTGCTTTCCAGAGCAGAAATTTATAATTCTCCGATCTAACGCTTATTTATAAAATATATAGCTCAAAATATACAGTATAGGGCCGATTATCCGAATTAATTATTGACTAAGGTGGTTCGGATAATCGAAAATTCCGATAATTTGATCAGATATTTATCCACAGAAAAAAACACTATTGTAACATTATTATAACGTACTGTACTATTATAAACGTAAAGTTGTCCCTGTGCTTAACTAAGCACTACGCCACGAAGGCGTATGGGGGATTGGATGTATAGATCCACATTTTTTTACATCGGCACTAATTGGAGGTGAGTGGTCAGCTTCACGCCCCGGCCGTTTCACCCCCTTCAAAGAGTCCCGGTACCAATTGTATAGGAGGTTGGGTGGACCCCAGAGTCGGTCTTTACGACGTGGAGAAGTGAAAATTCGTGACCCTACCGGGACTCGAACTCCGACCTCTCGGTCGTCCAGCCAGTATCCAGTCGCTCCCTGGCTCCTTCTGTACTACTATAATAATAAAAACAAAAACCTTCTAGAACAGGCGAAACATGGAAAAATAATAAATTTAATTATAAATTAACATTTTCAAGTAGTTCATTTGAAGATGTCCAAGAATTGCAATTGTTCAGAAAACACATTCCTTGGTTGAGGCGATTCGGTTAATCGAAAGGTCGGATAATCGGCGTTCTACTGTATTTAAGTTTATCATGTTAAACGGCAGCCTTTGGTTCCCAAATTAGGGCATATTTAAATCTGGGAGATGCATTTCAGCAGCCTCAGATATCAAATTTCAATCATATCCGTTTATTCAGAGCGTACTTCTTTCGTAATGGAAAGACAGACACAGCACGGCCATTTTTCATACATTTATACGAAACTAGCATAAAAGGCATATGTGGTCGGATATCGCGTATCATATTCAAACCAACAACTTTTGAGTTGCAATTGCACAGTTTACCACAGACAGCCCACGCTTTATAGTGTAGCAACGCTGCGATTCACACAAGGGTAGGTCGCGTGAGGGGTAAACCAAAAATTTCAGTGGCCGTTATGTGTCTGCATAATTAGTAATAAACCCCATGAACATTTCCATAAAAGTGTTGTTTGTAGTTTGATATTGCCCAAAAGCACAGGGTCATATGTATGTTACAGTACCGGCGTTGCAGAGCGTCTGTCGCAACAGCGCAGAGGGGATAGAGGACGGTATAACGTCTCTGACACTGGGTGTAAGACAGTTTATTACTATTATTCTTAGTGGGGTGAGACTGAGTCCACTACTGGCCTATTGTACCAGCCCCAGGTGACATGTGAGGGTGAGTAGGGAGAATATGGTGGAATCAAGACTGGCAAGGAAACCGAAGTGCTCGGAGGAAATCTGCCCCAGCGCCATTTTGTCCACCACAAATCCCACTTGATCAGACCCAGGCTCGAGACCCGGACCGCGGCCGTGGGAAGCTAGCGACTAACCGCTTGAGCTATGGCGTAGCCCTGTGTAGGGCATCCAAACGTACAGAACCATCCGAAGAGGAGAGGGGTTGTGTAACAAAATGAAGTAGTGTATTGACATGGACGGTATGACCCGCTAAGCTTCACATAAGCAAACGCCAATGTTCATTTTAGAAGTGCTTTATACTCGTACATGTCAATAAACGACCGCCTCTGTGGTCTAGTGGTCAGAATTCCTGACTGCAGACCCAGAGGTGCCGGGTTCGATTCCCGGAGCTACCAGATTTTCTGAGAAGTAGTGGGTCTGGAACGGGGTCCACTCAGCCTCGTGAGGATAATTGAAGAGCTATTTCAAGGAAATAGCGGTTCCGGTCTAGAAAACCGAGATTAACGGCCGTGGGGATCCGTTGCGCTGACCACGTGACACCTTCTATCCGCTAAAGTTGGCATTAATTTCGCCGACAAGCGGCGGTCACTCTGTCGGTATAGTTCGCTTGCGGACTGAAGCCACGGAGTATGTTTTTTTCTATATGCCAATAAATGAATAATCTGTTTTCAAAACGCAGTTTATCTTTACTGTATTAGCGATGGCTAGAGGAACCACATTTCTGTTTTCTGGGATATAACGCAGTGTAGTCCGCTGAAAGCCAACCGACATCGCGGAGGAATTACCTCACCTCCATCTTCACGGACGCAGAGTGAGCCAAGAAAGAAACAAGCGCGAAGCAGGAAGCAAGCAGAGATCTGCTCACTATCTTCTTTCAAAAGAGCTGGGATAGCTCAGTTGGTATAGCGACGGGCTGGACAGCCGGGGTTCGATTTGCGGCAGAGGCAAGATATTTTTCTCTACTCCACAGCGTCCAGACCGGCTCTGGGGCCCACCTAGCCTCCAATCCAGTGGGTTTGGAGTTCTTTCCAGGGAGTAAAGCTTCCGGGATGCGAAGCTGACCACTCACCTCCATTTACTGCCGAGGTGAAGAATGGTGGAGCTATATCTCCATTCTCACATACGTCTTGATGGTGTGGTGCCTAATTGAGCGCAGGGACAATTTTGCCTTCTTTTTCAATTTATCTTCTATCAAAGAAAGAGAAACGTGTTCGTGCTAATATCCCGGTCTGGGTGAAAACATAGGCCTATACATGCATAACCTGACTTCGTACGGGTGAAGCCAGTGGAATCAAATTTAGCAGTCGAAAGCTCTGTATGAGATTTGAAGTTTCTGCGGCGGTGAACAATTAGATTTTGGGCTTCTGCGTAATGTCACAGTGTAGCCTGGTAGGCGGTTAATATATTTCGGAGGAACATGTCGCCTCCATCTTCAGGGTAGAATAACTTGAAGACGGATAATGTCCCTCCGAAATGTTGGTAATCACCCACCAGGCATAAATATTACTGTCTCCCAGGTTGTGACGCCCTGTAGTTTGGTAATTACTACAAACGTTCCAGATGACCCTGTTACTCTGCTCTTCAGGTAGGAAAGTAAACATTGATAACTGTCTACCAGAATATACGTCGTTATTTCCTGAAGATAATCAACGCCGTGGAGACTTCAGATTCTCATCTACCAGGAAGTTAATTACAAACACTGGAGACTAAGTAAACTTCATGCATATTCAAGATGGGACAACTTAGGGAACTGGTGATGAACTGCAGTGTTGTCTGCACTATGTGACAACTGCGAGTGTCTGCCGTCAGGGGTCACTTCTTGCAAGCCAAGTACAAAACAGCTGCAGCTTCATAGTCTGACCGAAACGCGTTAGAGAGCAAAGGGTCGTGTAGTTATTCTTCCGTCTCTTCTTCTTACGACTGTCAAACGTTCTCTTGAAATTTTACCTTTCCTCGCCGGTAAAAATTCAGAATATGGTCTTTTAGGTTATGGTACCATCTGGTCTCGTTGGTGCTTACTAAAGGTCACAAGAGTCTGCTGCCTCTGTTTTATGGGTATAAGGCCTAACAGTTCACTTAGTGATGATCAGGCAAGGTTTATTTCGAGGAGACCAAAGCTTATGCTTAAGGGCTAACACTTTAAGGAGGTTATTATATGTATCCCATAGGAAACAGATGTTTTGAAAATGTGGGACAGTTCGGATATTTGGGAACAACGATAACAAATCAGTATAACAAACACTATAACACACGCAGTCGCAGGAGCACGACACAACAAAAGCACAACACACAAGATAGTGAAGGAGTGCTCCAACAAAGGAGAATGGGCGTGACTGACGTAGTGAGGGGCGACGTAGCGATGTGGTATCCTGAACAATTTTAATATTTTAACGTTTGACAATGTATATGATAGATACATATTTTAGTTATTTTAATGTGTGAACATGGCATGCAATGAACTGGTTTGACGTGGATAAGTAAGCACCTGAAGATGGCATTATTATGCCGAAACATGTAGTGCGAGGGAGAGAAGGAGTTAAATGAGTGTATGCACTGCAAGACGGATTAAATAAATCATGGACTTAAATCAAAACCTGATTGAGCAGTAAATTAAGAGGAGATTGAACTCGGGTAATGCTTGCTACCATTCAGTCCAGAACCTTCTGTCTTTTCGTCTGCTGTGCAAAAACATAAAAATTAGAATATACAAAACTATAATTTTGCCTGTGGTTCTGTATGGGTGTGAAACTTGGTCTCTGACATTAAGGGAGGAACGTAGACTGAGAGTGTTTGAGAACAGGGCGTTTAGGAGAATATTTGGACCGAAGAGGGATGAAGTGGTAGGAGGTTGGAGAAAACTGCATAATGAGGAGCTTCATAACTTGTACTCTTCTCCAAGTATAATTAGAATGATCAAGTCAAGGAAGATGAGATGGCAGAGCATGTAGCACGAATGGGGGAGAAGAGGATGTAGGATATTGGTGGAAAAGCCAGAAGGAAAGGGACCACTAGGAAGACGTAGACATATGTGGGTGGATAATATTAAAATGGATCTTAGATAGGATGGGATGGTATGGACTAAATTGATCTGGTTCAGGTTAGGGTAATAAACCTTCGGGTTCCATGAAATGTTGGGAAATTCTTGAGTAGCTGAGCGACTAGCGGTTTCTGAAGAAGGGCTCAGCTGCATGCAGTTAGTTTTTCTTCTTTTGCTTAGCTTGTCACATTCTTACATGGTAAGATGAGCTGAGAGATGGGAGCGATCTGATAACATCATTTTGTGACTGTTTTATAACATTGGAGGCGCAATATTTTGTGTCCCCTTTTGCTGATTCAGTATTGTTCATTATCTCATTCGGACACTGGATTTGAAGAGAAAGTTGAGCTTACTCATAGATATGAAAGTAGTTATCCTTTAGCCATTTGCGCGTTGTAGTGCTCAGGTTTGTGACTGACTTCTCACCGACTCTGCAGGGATGATGCCTACCGACTCGCTAGTCTTCACGGAATTTGAAGAAGGAATCACATTTGACGTGGATGACCCGGATTTTGTCAACTCCAACATCGCGACGAACCCAGATACCAGCACCACGAAAGCAACAAATAACAACAAAAAGAACTGTTCCCTGGAGGCTTTCGGTAAGTATATACTCTTATGGTCACATAAGTTGACCCCATAATTTACATATTCATTTAAGTTACTTTCTGTTCTCCACGTCGTCCGAACCACTTCTGGGGTCACCCAGCTTCCTTTGCAATGGGTACTGGAGGCTTTTTCCACGGGAGTAAAGCGGCTGGGACGTAAAGCTGACCACTCACCTCCATATAGGTCAAGAATAGGTGGATCTATAAATCCACTCACCCATACACCTTCATGGCATAATACTTAATTAAGCACAGGGACAATTTTACCTAACCTGGAAGCAGAAACACAGTAATTATATAGAACTAAATATAAAGGAAAGCCGGTCACGGTAGCCGAGTGGTCTAAGGCATGTGCTGTCTTCGCTCGCTTGGAAACCGGGATCGTGGGTTCGATTCCCACTCAGGGCATGGATGTTTAGTTTGTGTGTGTGCGTTTTTCTGTGTTTATGTACAGGTGGAGGCCTTGCGACGAGCTGATCGCCCGCCCAAGGAGTCCTACCGAATGTGTAAGATCTAGAAAAACCGAAGTGAACGGAGAAGTTCATAGAGGCAGGCCTAGGCCCACTGGGGCTGTAGTACCAAGGAAAAAAAAAACTGCNAAGGTAAAGTTGTCCCGCTGCTTAACTAATTAAGCACTAGACCGTAAAGACGTATGGGAGAACGAATGATGGCACTAGATGGAGGTGAGTGGTGAGCTTCACGGCCCGGCCACTTTAACCCGGTACCCACTGGATAGGAGACTGGATGGGCCTAGATCCTGTCAAGATGACGTGGAGAGAAGAAAAATATTTTCCCTTCCGGGAATGGAACTCCGACCCCTCGGCCTTCTAGCCCGTAGCTATTCGCTATGCCGACCGCGATATCCTTGCTCCAATGTAACTCAGAATAATTGGCTTGATTATATTAATGATGTTGATAGAACGGAACCTGAACGCATTCCAAAAGAGTTAAGGGGCTGTACACCTACAGGAACAAACTCCGATGGCCGCTGTTACGCTTGGAAGAATCAGCCTGTCTTTAGTTATTCAGTATTAGAGGGGGTGGGTTTCCCCATGCACCGCGACTAATAGTCTATTGTACGTCCCCCTTTAATTTCTACTGTCGCCATACCCTACCGGTACTGGTGCTCGCTATCAGCCCCTTTCTGCCAGCGAGGTCGGCCCTCTTCTGGCAGTGGTCCCCGATACTTTCCCATCTACCGGAGGCATTGGAAACTACTTGGGCGGGAAACGTTTTGCCTAATTTTGCTCAGAGGTTCCTAGAGACATGAAGATCTTTTACGTGCCGTAAATCTACCACACGGGACCCACGGCTGAAGTCCCTCCCGGAGGACTTGTTCCCTGAATTTTCCCGCCCTTAAAAATTCCGCGGGTTTGAATCCGCGTACCTTGAGTCATGAGGTGGGAACGTTACCCCTAGACTACGGAGGCCGCTTATCAGCCTGTCTTACAGAGGAAGTGAATGGATCGAGAGATCCGAACTTTGATTATGATAATTATGATGATAGAAGTTACCTGTAAACCAAGTACGGGCTTTGTTGTTTGTGTAGATTTGTGTGCTGTGTGTTTTATTTGAGTGTGGTGTGTTATTTTGTGTGATGTGTGTATTTGTGTGTTGTGTCTTACTGTAATACCACTGCCACCGGGCAAAACCCCATTTGCAGTTTAAATAAATAATAATAATAAATGCGTTGGAAGTGAGTAAATCGGAAAATAAAACGTGCAGACGGAAGGACAATACGACCTCATAATAATTGTTGATGTGAAAGTAAAGAATTCATGAAAAGGTAATGGTGAAGGGAGTTAGTGACCAGTCAGAAGTCCAGTGACAGGACAGCGAACATGCTGCATCATACATCTTCTGGTAATTGACGATAATTATTTTCCCTACATCTAACCGCCTCTGTGGTCTAGTGGTCAGAGTTCCTGGTTACAGATCCAAAGGTCTGGGTTCGATTCCCGGCGCTATCAGATTTTTTCTGAGAAGTAGTTGGTCTGGAACGGGGTCCACTCAGCCTCGTGAGGATCATTGAGGAGCTATTTCAAGAAAATAGTGGCTCCGATCTAGAAAACCGAAATTAACGGCCGTGAGGATTCGTTGCGCTGACCACGCGACACCCCACTATCCTCAAAAGTTGGCACTAAACTTCGCCGACAAGCGGCGGTCGCTCGGTCGGTATAGTTCTCTTGCGGACTAAACCATGCAGTTCTTTCTATATACAGCTACGCTGTCACTATATACGTACATTTTTTCCGCTAACTGCATCATAGCTCGCCGTTAGATTTCACCCACAGTGTTCCATTCCTGCTTGCTCAGACTGGAGTTCAGCACCGTATGCACAAAATACATTCGGCATTTCAAAGCGTTATATTTTTACTGTTTTCTGGGACTTTTTCCATCGTCCCGATTCTAGGTAATAGAGGACACTCTACGTAATAGAGGACACGACGTTTCGGAAACTGGATCTGTTTCCGTCTTCAGGTGAGAAAGGAAGACACCTACTCAGTCGTGTCATCTGTTACCTAGTGTGTCCTCTATTACCTAGAATCCGGACGATGGAAAAAGTCCAAAACCCAGTAATTCTCTGTGTTATCCACCATCGTCAGAACTCTTTAGTTATATTTTTTTTGTAATCACAGTACATGACTGAATTGCCAAAAATAAATAAATAAATAAATAAAAGGAAAGTGACGACATACTTAGATTCGCATCAGTAAATTCTACATGTCCACCTTCTTCTTCTTCTTCTTCTTCTTCTTCTGCCTTGCATGATTAGGCCCTCCGGTGTGTTTCCATTAGGAATTAATTCTGAAATTGTGATTCTTGTAAACAGTCGGTAGGACTTCTCGAACTATGGATAAACCCGACGCAAGGCTGCTACCTACAAAGTATAGAACCACAGAACAAACGTAGACATCTATGCCTCTATCGAACCTACGATCCTTCCTTTTGAGCTGGCGAAGACATTTCATGTCTTAGACCGAGTGGCCTCTGTAATTTTTTTAATGCTAGTGGGGTGGGACTAAGTCCCTTGTACTGCGGCCACTTCTGGCCTATTGTACCAGCCCCTGATGATAGGTGAGGGTCATTGTGGAGCAATTGGTAGAATGAAGATTGGCAGAGGAAACCGAAGTACTCGGAGAAAACCTGCCCCAGCGCCACTTTGTCCACCACAAATCCCACTTGACGAGACCCGGGATCGAACCCTGGCGTCCGCGGTGGGAAGCCAGCGACTAACTGCTTGAGCTAGCGGCCTCCGTAGTCTAGGGGTAACGTTCCCACCTCATGACTCAAAGTACACAGGTTCAAACCCGGCGGAGGTCGTGGAATTTTTAAGGGCGGGGAATTTCAGGGAACAAGTCCTCCGGGAGGGACTCTAAGCCGTGGGTCCCGTGTCGTAACTTTACCCCACGTAAAAGATCCTCATGTCTCTAGGAGACCTCTGAGCAAAATTAGGCAACGTTTCCCGCCCAAGTAGTTTCCAATTCCTCCGGTAGATGGGAAAGTATCGGGGACCACTGCCAGAGAAGGCCGACCTCGCTGGCAGAACGGGGTTGATAGCGAGCACCAGTATGGGAAGGGCATGGCGACAGTAGAAATTAAAGGGGGACGCACAATGGATCAACAACTGGTCGTAGTGCATGGGGAAACCCACCCCTTCCAATAATAATAATAACCGCTTGAGCTATGGCGCGCCCTGAGTGGCCTCTGTAATCAGCATATTTATATGCACCTGAACCATCGAAGAAATAATATTTCGGACACCCTGTGCAGGTTGTTTATACAGTGTGCACCCAGTATGACATGAAGAACATTTTGCGCGTGAATCTTGTCTTGAGCATCCTCACAGTGATCCTCCATAGGACTCGATTCTTCAATTTCAGTTGTGTGCAAGTAAATAATGAACACAGAGATCGATGATTATGCAGACATGTATTCGTTTGAATTTGTTGGGTAACTGGGTAGTACATACTCAGGCCGAACAAGTTCCGAATGCCTGTTTGTATTCTTGATGGTATCTTGGCCGAACAAATAATTAAACATTATCAGTATATTCATTGATACCGTTTAAGATGGCGGTAAGGCTGTCAACCCTTACGCGCCGGCCGCCCTTTACCCCCCAGGAAGATTCCTGGCACTAATTTCTGTTAGAGGCTGAGTCGACCCCAGGGCTATGTTTTGGAAAGATGTGGATTTGACTCGTTTGAATGTACTATCCCCGTATTCGCCTGAAACAACCAAGGAAAAGAGAAAAAAGAGAACCCTAAGTCATGGCGGTCGGTAACTCAGCAGAGTTCCGAACCGGGTACCACCCTCAGAATACAAAGTGTGCCAGATGGTGTAGCTCGGTATTAATCCCTGTGCTTGAGCCCGGGATTACTGGATTTTGTCAGTCGCCCTTTAATCTAAAGGACAAACAAAACAAACTCCGCGATTTCAGTCCGCAAGCGAACTATACCGACCGAGCGACCGCCGCTTGTCGGCGAAGTTAATGCCAACTTCTGCGGATAGAGGGTGTAGCGTGGTCAGCTCAACCAATCCCCACGCCCGTTAATTTCGGGTTTCTAGACCGGAGCCGCTATTTCCTTGAAATAACTTCTCAATTATCCTCACGAGGCTGAAGGGACCCCGTTCCAGACCCACTACGTCTCCTAAAAGAAACTGGTAGCCCCGGGAATCGAACCCGGACCTCTGTATCTGTATCCAGGAACCACAGAGGCGGTCAATCTAAAGGACACATTCTGGAAATTGGACCTGTTTCCGTCCTCAGGTGAGTGGGCGGGAGACACGGGCTCTGTTGGGTTCTTTGTTTCCTGAACGTCTTTTTCTTTGGAATTCTAGACGATGGACAGGGTCCAAATATTCAGTAATCCCGAGTGTTATACACAAACGTCAGAAGCCTTTAGAATCTTCCTCTGCTTGGGTATTTTGTTTATGGGGGCATCTGGTGAGAACTGAGTAGAACGCTGAGATACCAAGATGCGTTTTGAACG